GATTCTGACTCCGTGGGTCTTGGGTGGGCTCTTGGGCACTGGTGTTTTTTAAAACCTCCCCCAGGGGCTTCTGATGTGCATTCAAGGTTGAGACTTACTGCTTTAGATTACAAAATGCTTTCACATACATTATCCAGGGTTTTGTCTACATAAAGAGAGGAAGCAGAGACATTTTAATGCCTTTTGATTGTATAAAGAAACAGGAAGAGACAAGAGTGGTAATTGTGAAAACGAAAGGATTGCAGAGAAAACAGTTTTCAAAAATTGAAGGAGGGCTTCCCTGGTGGCGCAGTGGTTGGGAGTCCGCCTGCCGATGCAGGGGACAGGGGTTCGTGTCCCGGTCCGGGAAGATCCCACGTGCCGCGGAGCGGCTGGGCCCGTGAGCCATGGCCGCTGAGCCTGCGTGTCTGGAGACTGTGCTCCGCAACGGGAGAGGCCACAACAGTGAGAAAAATTGGAGGGAAAAACCCTTACCTTTGCAGGGCTAAAATTAGGGATGATATCAATCCATGGAGTGTAGAACGTTAAGGAGAGGCCTGTATGTCCATATTTCCTGCTCTGTGTGGAATATTCTTGAGATAACAACAAAAGTTCCCTACCCAGAAAAGTCTGAAAATAGTCATCCAATATTTGATTACTATTATTTTCTAAAACCTTATTTAGTCCACTCTATAAAAGAGAAATATTAGAGAAGTAAAACATTTGTTATTAGGCAAAAAGTTTGTTAGAAAATATCACGTTAATATTTCCATGTGCATTCTGGGGTTGTGCACACGATCTGCATGTAGAGACAGACAGAGTGCCTCAACAGTGATCCTTACAGCTTTTGGATGGTTATAATGAATAATTTTGCAGGTAAAAGTGGCAAGTAACAACCTTGGTTGTAGCTCAAGGATGAAATAGAGCCAACTCTGGGCTCTCAGATTAGGGGGAATAGAAGTCAAGTCACAACGAGGCAGAAGAAAGTAAGTTGTGATCAGAAAGTAGGATATTGCGTTTTGTGATTTTAGAAGTGGGCGATGACAAAGCTTAGGCTGTGACCAAGAGAGTGAGTGACAGCTACTGTCAACAAAGTAGAGGCTAAGCTATCATCTCCATGTCAACCAATAAGATGGGCATGGAGAGGAACAGTGCTTCAGGTGCAGGAAAGAAAATCTTCCAGACCCTAGGTATTTAAGATAAGGAATTTCAGTTAATCACCCCTTCTTCCCTCTAGTTTCCAACTAACAGAGAATGACTTATAATAACAGTAACAATAGTTCAGCACTTAGTATGTATCAGCATTGTTCCAGGCACTTTGCATGCATTCCAATGTTCACAACAATTTTTGTGACAATTGATACTATCATGCCCATTTTACAGATTAAAAAACTGAGACATAGGGTAGGCAGCTTGCCCAATATGGGTTATAAATGCTGGTAGACCGAGCTGGGGTAAGAGAATATTTTATGGAAGCTGTCAGCAGAAGTAAGTGCATAGAGTCCAGGAAGGGGCCTGGTGAGAGATGAGACTGAAATAATACATTGGAGCAGTATTGAGGAGAGTCCTAAACCCCAGTGTCCAGAGTTTGAACCTGATCTGTATCTTGAGATGACTGACTTTCAAATATGAACAAATTGGAGAGAGGCTGGACTGAAAGGACAAGTTAGGGTTGTTTTGGTCCTGATTAAAGGACTGGTAATGAGGAGGGTGGCAGGTGAAGGTTAAAGGAAGAGACATGTTTGATGTCTGTTGTAAAAGTCAAATGCGAAGATTTAGTACCTGGTTGGATGAAGGGGGTGAGGGAGAGGGAAGAATTTAATTAGAATCCGAGGTTTCAGGTCTGGGTAACTGAGCAGAACTTCAAGAGTGGCACTTTGTAGGGCTGAGAGGGACAGCATGAGTAGCTGGACTTTGAAAATCTGTAATTTGTTGTGTCAGCAGGCGGGCGTGGATGGAAGACCACGGGAGAAGTCGGAAACATAAATTTGGAACGTAGAAGAGTCTGAGCTAGAAATGAAACTTTTGGTGTCGTCTGCATAATGGTGCTGTGGGTAAAAACTTGGGAAGTGGATGAAATTTCTGAGGGTGGGAGAAGGAAGACCCTTGGAAAACGTTTAAACTGGGGAACAAGAAGGAGGGAGAGGAGCCAGCAAGGGAGGCCAAAGGAGAGAGGTAACAGGATAGGAACACCTAAAAGTGTGCATCGTGGATCACAAGGGAATGGAAGGTTCCAGAAAAGGGCTGACTTAGCAGACCCTCAAAGAAGCTAAGAAGAATAAAGCCACTTGGAGTTGTTGATTCCAAGGTTATAAGGATCAAAAGTAGCAATAGAAGGATAGGAGGCGGCCTCCAACTGGAAGGAGGGAGTAGATCAGGGGAGACAAAGGCCACACGACTGGCCTCTTTTTCAAGAATTCAACAACTGGGAAAAAAAGAGAAGATAGTCACTTGAAGGGGTAAGGCGTGTAATGGAAAGTGCTTTGTTTTGTTCTTAAGATAAAGAGGACCACTTAAATCTATTTTAGACAGTGATAAAAGAGCCATGGAGAGGATGAGTGAGGATGCACAGGCGCTGCCAGGTAGTAGCAGCAAAAACACTTCCCGTGGCAGAAATCACAGCAGGGTGAGGTTCTAAACTATTTTCTAACCTTATCATAAAACAAGCCAGAGCTCATGGAGCAGAGATCCCCACCAACTCCACACAGCAGTTCTCTTCGAGAACAAGGCAAGGGCCAAGGGAGCAGGGGTTTTTCCACCTCTTCTGGGGGAAGTGTGTGAATTTAACCCATACATCCCAGGGCAGAGGGGGAGGAGTAGCCCTACAGACGATCTTTAAAGAGTGAAATAACTTCTTTCAGGTGTAGGGAGAAGAGGAAACTTTGATAATAAATCTGGAGTGCAAAATATTAGGATTTTCTTTGTATAAGTATTATTTGCACATTGTATAACTTGTAAATATTCTGGTGAGGGTTGGGGCATTCTTATCCAGTTTTTTGAAAAAGAAATAGTTAAATGCACTTAAGTACCTGATTGTTATTCTCTCACTCTATGTGAGTGAGGCCAGACACTTCCTGGAAAAAAGTAAGTTGAAAGGCAAAAATATTGATAGTGGTTAATGAGTGAGTGCTGGCTTTGACTGCTGGAGGCCTCGGTAGGACAACTGCTGTAAACCAGTCAGCAAATGGCCTGTTTCCTTGTCCTGTCTCTTCCTATCAAGGGGACGGAAGTGGGCAGTGCTGGGCGCCCAGGATGGAAAGGGGAGGAAAGAGAGAAAGAGGGACTCCTGGTTCCCAGGGAACGTGCACACCCTCCCTCTTCTGTGGGATGGGCTGGGTACACCGTGTATTCAGAAATGGTCCCTGGGGCCCCATCGCTATCACAGTGCCGCAGAATCCTCAGGCTCAGAGAAAAGCCTCAGAGGTTGTTAGCATATCTCCCTCTGGCCACGAAACTGGACTCAGCACCAACAAGAGAATACCAGAGAGGATTTGATCTCCTCCATGCTTGGGTAATGCCTATTTCCTGATACCCAAAGAAGAATTAAGTATTGCGCGGAACTCACACTATATCACACACTCAATCCCGAACAGCTGGGCTGCTGATAAAATCTAAAAAGAAGAGAGAACTGGCTGTTCTCCATCTATACATAATGTATTCGTAATAAATCTCTTGATGAGGAGGCATGAAGATCTCCTATTTCTGTGCAGCCCAAGGAAGCAGAACATCCGGCAAGTATCCAGTGAGTCTTATTAGCAGAGACAACCAGTATGGAAGCTCCAGGGGGACTTGCCCCACATTTCTATTAGTAATGGCAATTTTTTTTTTTTTTACCTTAAATATGCTAGTAATTCTCTTGCTTGCAAAATTCATTTTGCCTAAGGATTGATAACTATGCTTTTTCTTAATAGTTACTGAATACCCTCCATTTTCTAGAGACTACATAAAAATAAAGCATCGCTTGCCACCTTTTTTTTTTTTTTTTTGCTTTATTTCTGAGAGGATAGAACCGTAAAGCCATTCCCAGAATGATTTATTTTCAAGAAAATGGAAGTAATAAAACATGAAACACTAGAGTTGTGTAAAATCCTATATTATGCATGAAATGCCTACTCTACAATTTAGTACAAAGGATAACTGGTGACAGTCAAGAGTATTCTATATGAATATAAGAATTTTGATTCTGGTGTGGGTGGTAGTGATTAAGAACAAGGTTGGTAGTATCAGAACATGACACTTTCCTCCTGGGTTTTGCTTGCAAAGTGCAGCCGCCTGTGTGGAGCCCCCCAGGGTCAGGGCCAGTCACCAAGTCAACCAAATAATAATGGTTGACACCAGATAGAAACCAATGACAAAACGAAAGATATTTGTTAAAGATAATTTTTACTTAAGTTACTACTGAAATATTTTCTCACTTTAGTTAGAAATGTGTCTCTCGTGCTCACTTAGACTTTATAACAGTAAGATCATCTCAGTGTCTAGGAGGATCCCTACCCTCTTTAAGGAAGAGAAATACAACATGCATTTGATCATTTAATAGCAGATTTGGCTTATTCAAAAAGAGGGACGTGGGCTTCCCTGGTGGCGCAGTGGTGAGAGTCCGCCTGCCGATGCAGGGAACACGGGTTCCTGCCCCGGTCCGGGAAGATCCCACGTGCCGCAGAGCAGCTGGGCCCGTGAGCCATGGCCGCTGAGCCTGCGCGTCCGGAGCCTGTGCGCCACAACGGGAGAGGCCACAGCAGTGAGAGGCCCGCGTACCACAATAATTAATCAATACCTTATACCAGCAATGTATGAAATTATAGTTTTACCGCAGGCTTGACAAGCTGCTAATAAGACTATGTTACTCTTATTTGTGTTTATTTCATCCCTAGCAAGCTTGAAATTTTTTGCAAGTATTTGTTCACAATATTCTGCATGAGTGCTTGGTTCTAAATTTTTGTTGTTGTTTTCTTATCAATTGGATTATCTGTCCCAACTCCAGTCTCAAGCCCTCTCCTCACATTTATTGCTTCGTATAGGCTCCCATGATTCATTCAGTTACTGGGTAGACGAAAAGTCCCCAGTGGGGCCTGACCAAACCCCAGCTATCAAACGCCTCGCCAGGATCTCCTTGGTAAAGAAGCTCATGAAGAAATGGTCTGTGACTCAGAACCTGACGTTCCGAGAACAGCTGGACGCTGGGATCCGCTACTTTGACCTGCGTGTGTCTTCCAAGCCAGGGGATGCCAACCAGGAAATCTTCTTCATTCACGGGCTTTTTGGCATCAGGGTCTGGGATGGGCTGATGGAGATTGACTCGTTCCTCACACAGCACCCCCAAGAGATTGTCTTCCTGGATTTCAACCACTTCTATGCCATGGACGAGGCCCATCACAAACGCCTGATTCTCCGGATCCAGGAGGCCTTTGGGAACAAGCTGTGCTCAGCCTGCAGTGTGGAGAGTATGACGCTCCAGACGCTGTGGGAGAGGAAGTGCCAGGTAGGAGGGAACAGAGATTAGCTTCCAAGGGCAACGACCCGAACTCTTTCTGCTTTTTCTGTGTCACCAGCCCTAAGGCAGCTCACTCCAGGGCTCTTGGGCCAGAAGGCATAGATTGTTTGGGATGATAAAGATCTGCACACCAGTTCATGGGCTCTAAGACGGCTCCAAGGGCTCCCCTGGGCACAGCTGAACTGGGATTAACTTGTTTGGCAATGGCCTGGCCAGAGCCAGCCCAAGGCAGAGTTGTGAAATAGGACCAGTTGGCCATTACCATTTTTCTGCCTCCCATTGTATCTGTTTTCACACTCCTAGTTCCCCTTGGGGATCATCTGTCCCATCCTGTCTTCAACTCAATATCAGATAATCCCTGCCAAATATTGTTTGATAGCATTAGCTGACAAAGGCACGTGAAGTGAAGTGATTCGTCTCAGAGGTGTTAGTTAACATTTTGAAAGGCCATCTCCACAGAGTTTGGGTCAGCGGGGAAGACAGTTAAGGAAGGAAGAACCCGCGAAGGGATCAAGGCTAGAGGAACATCCCTAAGTTGAGAAGAGCCCCAAACCCAGACCCATGAAGGACAGACTCAGGAAAAGGAGCGCGGGCCTCAGATATATTCTGTTCTGGTCCCAGAGGATGGTGGATAGTGAGAGAGGAGAGCTTCAGGAATGGTCAGGCTCCAATATAGACTCTCTTTAAAAAGAAAAAGAAAAAAAAGTACCTTTCATTCACAGTTGCTCCCTTACTCATAGATGCATTAACCAAAGCATCTTAAAGAGGCGGTGATTTTTGAACCCAGGGAAGAGCTTTAATTAGAAAGCAATTAAAGATTATTCATTTGCAAATGTATGGTGAACACTAAGTGTGAGCCGAGCTCCATTCTAAGCACTTGGGATAAATCAGTAAATAAAACAAAGATCCTTGCCCTAATGGAGATTTCATTCAGGTGGACGGAGATAGATCATAGATAATAAACATGATAAATACATTATAGTGAATGTTAGAAAGTAATAAGCAATGGAAAAAGAAAGCCAAGCACAGTAAGGAGGAACCAGGGATCTATGGGTTAGAGGGTTGGTCACAGTTTTAATCAGGGTAGCCCTCATTGAAAAGATGACATTTGAGGGAGTGAATCTATTGGGGGAAGAGCTTTCCCAGCAGAGGAACCAGTCAGAGCAGAGCCCCAAAGCAAGAGGGTCCCTGACATGGTTAAGGAAAAGCAGGGGCCACGGGACTGGAGAGCAGAGCAGCGGACGAGGTCAGAGAGATAACGGTTGATCAGGGGGCCCTTGAAGGCACTGAAAGGACTTGGCTTTTACTCTGAGTGAGGAAGGTTCTGGGAGGGTTCTGAGCACAGGGTGTTGTGGCCTGACTTCAGTTTTGATGGTATCCCTCTGGTTACTAGGAAGAGCCCTGGAAAGACAGAAGGGAACTACAGAAACCAGTGAGGAGACTAGTGGGAAGTGGTCAGATTTGGAATCCACCAGAAGTTAGACCTAATAGCGTTTCCTAACTGTTGGAATGTGAGGATTCCAGGATGACTCCCAGCCTCGGCCTGAGTAAACAGGAAACAACCAGGGAAACACCAAGGTGGTTTTGCACACCCACGAAAGTCCTAAAGGTCTTTGAATCTACGAAGACTAATGAGTTAACTCTTAGTATCTGTTAAGTTTTATCTAAGCTATTTTTCGGCACTAAAACTTTTGTAAGTGATATTTTGCCAAATATTTATCACACCTCTCCCCTAAACCTAAGTTTATATCTATTCAGACTCGCAGGTCAAATTTGGAGAGATTTGGGCTTCCCTGGTGGCGCAGTGGTTGAGAGTCTGCCTGCCCATGCAGGGGACACGGGTTCGTGCCCCGGTCCGGGAAGATCCCACATGCCGCGGAGCGGCTGGGCCCAGGAGCCATGGCCGCTGAGCCTGCGCATCCAGAGCCTGTGCTCCGCAACGGGAGAGGCCATGACAGTGAGAGGCCCGCGTACTGCAAAAAAAAAAAAAAAAAAATTTGGACAGATTTTTCCCCAGGGGAACCTCTTTCTTTTTTTTTTTTTTTTTTTTTTTTTTTTTTTTTTTTTTTTTTTTTTTTTTTTTTTTAACATCTTTATTGGGGTATAATTGCTTTACAATGGTGTGTTAGTTTCTGCTTTATAACAGAGTGAGTCAGTTATACATATATATATGTTCCCATATCTCTTTCTTACAATGCTAAATAATACTAGTAACAAGAGCAATAACACAACATTTATTGAGCCTTTACAATGTACTGAGTACAGGGATTAACTCATTTAATCCTCTCAACAACACTATGACATAGGTTGTCATTATTATCCTCATTTTACAGATGAGAAAACTGAGGCAGGGAACAATTAAACACCTTGCCCGAGAGAACATTGTCAGTGAGCCACAAGGGCCAGGACTCAGTCACAGGCTGTCGGGCTCTACCGAGTTCCCACAGCCTTCAGTGCTCTCCCAGGGCTGATCACACATCTTGGTGATTTTCACAACTAGTGTCATAGACGATGCTAATAAAAACACTTTCTCCTTATTCAAGAGCCCTTGTTATCAGAAGGTCTCAGAGGGTTAGCAGAATGGGAGACAGGGAAGATCCGTGAGAGGGCTTTTGAATACGAGGATTCAGGTAAAGTTAAATTTGAGTCCAGCTAAATTTATAAACAGGTATCTGTTATAGTTTTATAATTTTGTGCACAGATAGTATTCTGGATGGACTGCCACACTGCATACTAAATCATTTAGAAATTTGCAAGAGAAACAAGTAATTTCAGGAATAATGAATCATGTGGACAGTGAATTTCTAGCAGAACAGTAAAGATCTGTTATAGTTTTTAAGTATGGGCTGATCTGTCATTCAACAACCAATACCCCTAAAATTATGAATGAAAGAGACTGTGATGATGTGTCAGAAAAAGGAAGCATGTCATCAATTTGAATTCCAGGATTTCCCTGTTCCCCTTCCGTTCCCAGAGGTTTCCCTGGTATACCTCTTCTTAAAAGCTAAAGAGATCTCCAACAGAGCCCTCAGTCATCTTCCCCCTGCTGGGGCAGTGCCATACTGGTGGTTAAACATTAAATATTCATTATGTAATGAGCTGCCTTGCATGTAACCCCCAGAGTATTTTATTACTAGTTTAATAGAAAGAAGTGTACTACCATTCAGTCACATTTCATTTACTCAATATGCAGTTATATCACAGCTCACAGGTGTGTATTGGTATATTAGTGGTTATGAGTTTTGAGGGTACAGTGAATTCGAAGATTTCATCTACAACTTGGCAGTATTTAGAGTCTTAATGAGAAGGTAAGAATACGTGCCACTAGTAAAATATAAGACAACTGATATATACAATTACAAGGCAAAACTGCCTCAAACGTACTGTATGAAAAAAAGGGTTTTGTAATCCATCAATTGAAAAATAGTACATAGTATAAATCTGCATCCCAGGGGCCCCATAAAAGAATGATCAAAATAAGAAGAGGTCAATTAAAGAATAATTCTTAAAGGAAATGACATTTTAAATCTGAGTCTCGAGAGAAAACCTGCATATGAATTGCTGAGCTGGAGGGAAGAATATCTCAGAAAATACAGCAGAGCGAGGTTGGGAGTCAGATGCAAAACACAGGCCCTGGGCAAGACTTACTGTCCCCCAGAATTCTGTAGAATGAGGGCTGGTTTGCTAGGCCAAGCTCCTACTGTAAACAGAAATTCCCCCTATAACCTTTAGGATCAGATTACTTGAGAAGGCTCTTGAGGAAAGCCATAAAAGCCCCTTTTGTAGAATGTGTCCTCTTTGCTCGTTCTCCAAGACTGAGTGAAGAACAGCGCTTTCCTTTCATCCCCTGACCCTCTGCTCAGGGGCCAGGCAGCATGGGAAATGGTCTGACAGGCCCTGTCGAAGGATCACACAGCCTCCCGCCTCTCCCACAGTCCATCTCACAGCCCGGCTTTTCACACTTACAGATGCTGGAGACCCCAGCCTTCCAAACTAGCCAGTTAAAACGCCAGCAGGAAATCTTCCCCTATCTCCCAGGCAACCTGCTTACGATGAGCCTGTGATTAACCTCATTAACCCATGTGTTTACCACCAACATCATTAGCAGGCAGTCAGACATTACTCAAAGCCATTAAAAGCAACAAGAACAACTAGCCTGTTCAGTGCTTTGAGCCTGGTGCTCCCTAGCTCTAGGCCTTTAGGAGCAGTTAGGCTAAATGCACCCCGGAAACAAGACACACATTCAGAGCTCTTGCCCTTGGGTGCCAGGAGAATTACGCTGTCAGGCCAGCTCTTCGAGGATTGCAGTCCAGGGAGTGTAAATACACACGATGGACTTTCGTCCAGGGAAGAATCGCTGGTACCCGGGAGGAGAAAAAACATAGTACTTCTGGAAACCCAAGCATCAGAGCTCTGAATTGGGACAATCGAAATAGCAATTCCCTGTCTCTCTGCTGCCTTCAGAGACTAATTAATGCCGTGGATGTGGCTTGCTAATTATTTGCAAAATCACCACCATCCTGAGGGGTCCCACTGGAGACCCATCCGGTACTCGAAGTCTTCCCTGCCTCACATAGCTCACTCCCTCCCTCTCCCGGGAAGGGCAGTTTCATTCAGAGTCAGCGCGCAACTGAAAACCTACATCCTCCCAAATTCAGTTCAGTGTATTGATCTCAACCCAAGAACTAAGGGTCAATTTCGTGAGCATAGGAGTCAAAACTTATAGACAGGACTAACCACTGAGGTTTTCCACCTGGGGTCCAGAGATTCCCAAGAGGAGTGGATTAGGGTAGAATTTAAGAAGTCTGTGAATTTGGATGGGAAAAGCACTACATACTGGCTTTTAACCTCTAACTGAATATCAGTATAACCACTGATTATGTGTGAGCAGTCACCCACGGCAGTGTCAGCAGTGTTGGCAGTGTTGGCAGTGTTGGCAGTGTCGGCACTCCCTATGACTTTGTCCCCACAGAAACCACAGATATTCATTTAGTGCAGATATCTTGAAATATTGTGTATACTCATCATTTACTCAAAATTATGGAACTTATTAGGCTTAAAACAAAATATTTTTATTTAATGTGTTTATTATGAAGTTCATATATTAATTTATTTATTACAGATTTAATTATTATGTTGATAGCTATATTTCCATCTCACTGATTTTCTTTGTAATCCTATCTTTTTTTTTTTTTTTTTTGCGGTACGCTGGTCTATCACGTTGCGGAGCATAGGCTCCGGACATGCAGGCTCAGCGGCCATGGCTCACGGGCCCAGCCGCTCCGCGGCATGTGGGATCTTCCCGGACCGGGGCACGAACCCGTGTCCCCTGCATCGGCAGGCGGACTCTCAACCACTGCGCCACCAGGGAAGCCCTATCCTATCTATCTATTTTATTTTAGACATTCATTTAAAACAATCTGAGAAGGGGTTCAGGAGTTTACCATACTTCCAAAGGTGTTCATGACCCCCAAAACGTCAAAAACTTCAAGTCAGGCATATAGCAAGTGCTTAAATCTTTGCTTATTAATTTTTCTAAAAAAATATGTATATAAAAATTTTTGAATTTCCACGTATGTTTGTATTCGTGCGCCTTTCCTCCTAGCAATCCATCAGTGTAAAGCCGAGGAGTTAACACTCAGCTTGTTCATGAACTGCCCTCCTTTATTTGTTCTGAACGTTTCAGGTTCTCATCTTCTATCACTGTCCCTTCTACAAGCAATACCCCTTCCTATGGCCTGGAAAGAAGATCCCAGCGCCCTGGGCAAATACCACAAGTGTGCGCAAGCTCATCCTCTTCTTGGAGACCACGCTGAGTGAGCGCTCTCCCCACGGATCCTTCCATGTGTCTCAAGCGATCCTCACGCCCAGAGTGAAGACCATCGCCCGGGGCCTGGTTGGCGGCCTCAAGAACACGCTGGTCCATAGGTAAGAATTTGCTTCCTTTTCACAAGTGAGGGTTAAAAAAAATGTTTTTATCTTGATTCTCTTCTGAATAAACAGCAAACAACAGTAAAATCATATACTCTGAAGATTTAAAATAACAGAACAAAACCCAAAAAACCTTGTATTTGAAAAAGTTGTGTACTTGAGGTGTCTTGCATTAACCGTGGCCAAAGGATCTCTAAACACCCTGTTAAAATGTACATATTAAAACATAAATACCCTCTAAATTTCAATATGGAGGCAAAGCACTTTCAGCCACCACCAGTCCATTCACGTCTGGCTGGAGGTGCCATCATGTTCCTGCCCCTGCCCTCGAAGCTGGCCCAAGCACTCACTCTCTTAAGAAGCATTAAATGAGACTGCTGTGCCAGGCAGTAGGGATTCAGAGATGACCCTCCCAGGATTTAGGGTGTCCTTTCTCCCTTCCTTAGTGACAGTGAGTCCTAAGAAGCAGCTCAGGATGCCACCTACCATGCCATAGCTTCAGATACTTCCTCGGAGCAGAACTGATCCTGACTCTACAATTAGGCAGGAGAAGCTCCAGAAACGTTGTGTTAGATGATGTTCGTTATCCTGGGCACCAATAAATGATAGGTGTCGTCAAGAAAAAGGATGGCTTGTGTATATGTACATGTATGTGTGTATGCCTATGCCTATGTATAAAGGGAATGTTATAAATACATTTGGCTGATAGGGCATCCCTCACAATCCAAGCTGAAGAAACCAGTATGTTTGGATAACAAGGGATATTTACGAGAATCGCTTTGGTTCCTGAGTTCCAGGTGCTGAGCACCGGAGTTCAGATAATGAAAGATTCATCAAAAAAACATGTCCCTGTCTATTTGGATAGTTTGGATATGACTTCTGATAACAGGTGTTCACCTGGCAGGAGTTTGGTTGACGAACTGAGAGCTTCTGATCGTGCTGGCCATGAACAGAACCAGAAACCTCTTTCTGTGTGGCTCTACTAAGTCTTCACCGAATTACCTGTGCTTAACTTGGGAAAGAGAGTTTCATAAACCAAGACCAGAATCATGAACTTTCTTTTTTATAGTATATGCTCATATATCCATACCATTTCCTCATGCCTTTGGTAAATTTGTAGATTAACATTATTTATTTATTTATTTATTCAGCGACGAATAGGAGCTAGGTCCAAAGACACAAGATGAATAATCTAATCATTGCCCCCATAGACGTACATTCTATCGGGAAAAATAAACATGTAAATTTCTATGTAACACTGTGAAAGTCACTATAATAAAGTCTGTGCAGAGAGCTGTACTTGTAAGGGAGAGGAAGTCTTTAAAAATAAGGATGTGTTATATCTGTATAGTGTATTCTGAATATAGAGCACCCTCTTGCAGATGATTTCATTAGGTTCTTAAAGTAAGCCAGCCTCCAGGAGGGCACGTTGTCTAAAGCATGTTACTCTCCCCACTTCAGATGGGCCCAATGAGGTTAAGTGACCCAGACCCCCAATGCTGGTAAGAGTCAGTATTACATCCCATCCGTGGACTTCTGATTGTTGGACCATTGCCCCTTTCAGCATCCAAGCACTGACTTGTATGTAGCACATTTCAGTGCCCTGTTCCTTTCTGCTCCACTGGTCTGTGATTGTCTCACTAGTACCTGAATCCGGTCAGCTCTTACTGGCTACAATTCTGAACCCACAAAGTCACAATGCTTTTGAGTTCCTGCATCTTTAATCTGGCTGCAGATGAAGCACAAGGCTCTTCCACTGAGAGGTAACGATGGCGCACGCGCCCAAAGTCCCAGCATCCTAGCACGCCAGAGCCTTAACCTGCTGGCTGCAAGCACACACCTGGGAGATTGGAAGGATACTGGGGCATCTCGCCGCATGCTGGTCACAAGAATATTACAGAGATGCATTAGGATTCCTAGGCCTCCACATCAGCTGCTTTGGTCAAGTTTGTTCCCAAACACCAGCACGACATGTGGCTGTCATTTCCCCTGCGCTATTGAACAAGCGTGTTGACTTAAAAATATATATATGCACAACGTGAGAGCTGCGAGTTAAGTTTTATTGGGGGCAGAATGAGAACTGAAGCCCAGGAGACAGCGTTTCAGATAACTCTGAGAAGCTGCTCCAAGGAGGCGAGGGGGGAAGCCAGGATACATAGGAGTTTTGCAACAAAGGGCAGGTAGTCGGGAACGTCAGAAGATTGTTGCTAATTAAAGAAAACCAGATATCTCAAGTTAAGGAATTTAGCGCTTTTCTATGTACGGAAGATGCAAGAGTCTTGGCTCACTGAAATCATTCCTTTGATATGCACCTCAGCCATCTGGGGCCAGTATCCTGACACATCCTGAGTTTCCTCAGGGCTCACCGCAGGGAGTGGCTGCAGTCTGACGGCTGCTAGATGGCAGGTATTCTTTTCAGCCCTGAGTTTCCTCGGCTCACGTTTGAGGGGTATAGTCATTGATGATTGTGACATCCTTTGTTTATTGACATGGCAGGAAATATTTCATTTCTTAAGCATATGGAAGACGCAGTTGTCACGGGCCTTCCCTGAGAGCCAACACCCAGAAGGTCTGTCGTAAGGCACACGGGGTGCTGTCAGACTGGTCCTGGGCACCAGTTATCAGCTTAACCGAGAGGAAAAGACAAGGTATATTTTCCTATAAATGTAGTGGTGCTTTTCTCAGCAGGCAGTTAACCCCCCCTTCCCGCTAACTCTTAGGTCAACTTTGGACTTGAGATTTTGTTTGCTTGAAGCCATGAAAAATATATGCATTCTTATCTCCATTTCATTAAGATCTTCTTGTGAGGTTCTGTCTTGGTCTTTCGTTTGGAACATATTTCTCTGTCTCCTCTTTTTCCTGACTCTCTGTGCCAACTACCCCCCCGGTCTTGAAGGAGTGACCTTGTGTAGGTGATGTCCCAAGGGCCCAGGGCTCGGGGCACAGGGGGTGTCCCCTGTGTGGGCTTCATGCGCCTACCTGCTGTGGTGCAGGGGTAAAACATAGCCATTCTGACTGAATTTCTAAGGTAGTTTTCCCTAGATTCTTAGAAACCTTGCACTCCCACTGAAATCAAATGAAAGCAAATTTTGCCTAAGCCTGAAGGCACAGCAGCATGGGGCTGCAGAAGGGGACACAGACTGAAACCAGAGGCCCAAGGTTGAAGCCTGACTTAGTTCCTGTTGTCGCGGTCCGGGAGCCACACGCCTGGAGTCGAGTTCCCCGGTAAATGCGACCTGTGTCCCAACCAAGGACACCCGAGAATCACCAACACCAAGCAGAAAGATTAGCAAAGGATTTATACAAGTATAGAAGCTTACACAAACTGTCCGGACAGGGTCCCACTCGGAGAGAAGTGAGTGAGACCCCGACTAACAGTCGGGCGAGGCCTTTATACCCTTCACAGGACGGGAAGTTCCCAAGGCGGGAGGGAGCTGTTTAATTTTGAATCAGCCAATCAGGAACCCGGTTCTTCCTGCCCCAGGCAAGTAAGCAAAGCAACTTTCTTACAGAAGTCAAAATGTGCTGTTAGCCCTGAAGCTGTTCTTCCGTTTCTTTCGTCACACTGTTACGGACTGAATTGTGTTCCCTGGAGTTTCACAAGTTGGAGCCCTAATCTCCAGTACCTCAGAACATGGCTATATCTGGAGATAGGGCCTTTAAAGAGTTGGTAAAGTTGGGCTTCCCTGGTGGCGCAGTGGTTGGGAGTCCGCCTGCCGATGCAGGGGACGTGGGTTCGTGCCCCGGTCCAGGAAGATCCCACATGCTGCAGAGTGGCTGGGCCTGTGAGCCATGGCCGCTGAGCCTGCGCGTCCGGAGCCTGTGCTCCGCAACGAGAGGGGCCACAGCAGTGAGAGGCCCACGTACCGCCAAAAAAAAAAAAGAAAAGCTGGTAAAGTTAAAATGAAGCCATTCGGCTGGGCCTTAATCCAGTCTTACTGGTGTCCTTATAAGAGGAGGAAATTAGGACACACAGAGACACTGGGGATGGGTGTGAACAGAGAGCAGACCCTGTGAGGACACAGGGAGAAGGTGGCCATGTGCAGGCCAAGGAGAGAGGCCTCAGGAGAAACCGAACCTGCTGACACCTTGATCTTGGACTTCCAGCCTCTAGAGCTGTGAGGAAATAAACTTACGTTGTTTAAGCCACCCAGTCTGCAGCGCTTTCTTACAGCAGCCCTAGAATATTAACACAGTGCCTTAAAAACAGATTGCCTGGGCTTCCCTGGTGGCACAGTGGTTGAGAATCTGCCTGCCGATGCAGGGGACATGGGTTCGAGCCCTGGTCTGGGAGGATCCCACATGCCACGGAGCAACTAGGCCCATGAGCCACAACTACTGAGCCTGCGTGTCTGGAGCCTGTGCTCCGCAACAAGAGAGGCCGCGATAGTGAGAGGCCCGCGCACCACGATGAAGGGTGGCCCCTGCTCACAACTAGAGAAAGCCCCCGCACAGAAACGAAGACCCAACACAGCCAAAAATTAATTAATTAATTAATAAACTCCTACCCCCAACATCTTCTTTAAAAAAAAAAAACAGACTGCCTTTGACAAATTTCCTGAGGTCTCTGAGCTGTGGTTTTTCTTACCAGATAAGCGGGGTTAATAAAACCGCACAAGATTGTGGAGTCTTAACAGGAAAGCATCTCCCACAGTGCCTGGCACAAGACAGGCATGCCACGCCCATCCCTGCACTGAACCAGCCCTGCTCTCAGTGGGCCTCTAAGCCAGGGGGAAGTTTCTGAGCTGCTACTCTGCAGCCCTTGGGATTCAGTGCCTCACGGCCCCACAACAGTATCTGACTCAGCCGTCTGCACTGATCTCTTGGTAAAGAAATCTTGGTGAAGAGGTCTTGGTAAAGAGGTCTTGGTGAAGGCCAGGAGTTAAGAGAATAGAGCGGCCCCTGCTCAGTGGGTTCTGCATTTCCTGGTTATTCGATCCTTGTGCGCAATCCTGGTTATTTGATCCTTGCCCTGGGGAAGGCTGACACGAGAACCCGAAGCTGACACAGAGCTCTTTGTCACAGAGAGGAGACCACAGGTGCTGGCCTTTCCCTCTGCTCGGCCTCCAGGCCTCCAGGGATCCTCCACGGGCTGGCTTGACCAAACCTTTAATTCTCATTTCCCCGTGATGACCAGAAGGTGGTGCCAGAATTTCATACTTAAACATGGACAAGCCG